AAAATGGGAATGGCAACAGTGCCTGTGTCATAGGGTTGCTGTAGGGATGAAGCCAGCTAACACAGGTGTGGCTTCAAGAAGAGTATAGCTGGCTAGAGCGAATGCCCTGTACTACATGTTAGCTGTGTTGGATGTTTGGAAGCTAGCCCTCTGGGTGAGGATATTTGCATAGTTCATTTTCACTCCTGGCTTCTTCCTGGAGCTCCAGGGTTCAGTTTAATAAGGGAGATGCAGTGGGGCATGAGCCAGGGAAGGGAGAATGCACGGCTGGTTGGAAGTGAAGGAAGTGGCTTGGAAAGTCAAGAAAGATGTATAGAAATTAGTCAGGGCCTCCTTCAAACTAGCTTAAGCAAACAGACAAGGTACTTATTAGTAACTTCAGGCACAAGTGGACTTTGGGGCTCAGGTAGTGTTCTGAGGAATCCCTCCTGGGGGAAGATGGCTCCACCTGCTCCAGGCAGGTAAACTACCAGCTTAACACCGCCAGTGAGCAAACACAGGTTCAGCCACTTGGCATTCACTGCTGCCCAGGGCCCAGGAACCTGCTGATTGGTCAGATCTGGGTCATGGTCACAACCTGGAGCTGGGCAGTAGGAGTGGAAGTGCAGGCAGTCACTTGCACCCAGCCCAGGAGACTGAGAGACCAGGGATGAGGAAGGGCAGCTCTCCAACAGAGCATGAGGAATGGATGCCAACAGACGCATATAACTGGAGGACCCTTGGGGAGGCGACCCTGTGAGCTGGGACTGAAGAGTATGAGTGGTCATTTAGGGGACACAGACAGTGCGAGAGGGACCAGCACAGCAGAGGTGGAGTGGCATGAAAATTTATGGTGTGTTTGCTGGGTATAGGGGGAAAGCAGGTGGGGAGGCAGGGCCCGGGCCGGGGAGAAGTGACTGAGGAGTAGGGTTGGGACACCAACTCGTGAAGGGCCTGGGATGTCAGGCTAAGGAGTTAGGACTTAATGGCCAGATGATGGGAGCCATGGAAGGCTTAAGGAAGGGAATGTTTTTCCCAGTCTTTCTAATGGCCGTGACACCTTTGGGGCTGTCCTTTATTGCTCCTTGGAACAGTATTGCATCACCATGGTTTGTGACTTGGGGTTTTCCTAAGGACTTTATTTCACCGCTGCCTCTGCCCGCTGCATGCTTGCTGTCTCTCTCACACCCCTCCTATTTTTATTGGCTCTTCTTGCTTGAAGTCAGTTCAGCAAAGCTCTTGAGTATATGGGTTTGGTAGTCAGATGGGTCAGTGTTTTGAGTCCTCATCCTGTTGCTTCCCAGCTGTGAGAATGCTCTGAGCCTTAGTTTCCCCATCTGTAAAATGGGGATAATTATAGTAGTACCACCTAGGGATGTTATGCAGATGAACTGAGAGATGACACCTCAAGTCTTTGCACGGAAGAGATGCGCAGTATGTGACACTTGTGATTATTACTGCTTATTTCACTTTTATTTTTGCTCTTCTGTGCTTCTCAATGTGACCCGAATCTGCCCTTAACGCATTTTGCAGCACATCCAGTGGACAGACAACTTTGCCTCTGGTCCCTTAGCTAGGTTTCCTTTTGCTCAGGAGGGACTGAGGAAATGACCCATAAATTCTGTGTCTTTACTGGATTGCCTCACAGAGCCTGGAAGAATCTTCTTTCTGGCAGTCAACTTAGGAGCTGAGGGAGATGAGGCGAAGGGAGGTGAAGACACAGCCGGACCAGGGCACATAATCTTCCCAGCATATTTATTCATGAACAGGAAGGACAAGACCAGTGAGGGAGTGGTAGCGAGTTATTTGCTGGGAGGCAAGAGGAGAAGGAAGGGTGAGCAGACAGAGGGGATGAGTCTTCCACTCTTGAAACTCCTCCTACTGCACAAAAATTGCCCACAGAGGTGGAAAGAGGCAAAAGTAAGAGAGAACAGAGCAAAATCATAATATGCCCAGGTTTTATGATGGGGCCAGCAACATTATGGATTGTGAAGCCAGATCACCTGGCTTCAGATCAAGACACAGCTACGTACTACTTTTGACCTTTGACAAGTCACATCAGCTTTCTAATAATCAATTTATTCATTCATAAAGAATACAAAAGCCCACCTCACAAAGCTGTGGTGAGAAATAAATGAGTTACTGCACTTCAAGAACTCAAAGCAATGCTTGGTCCAGAGAAAACATTCAATAAACCTGACTCTATTATTATGAATGTTCTTGTCAGGTCCAAGGTAGGGGTGAATGAGACAGATACTGCTAGATTACTCTAGCTATTTCCAGAAATACGTAAGTATATGAATTAAAAATAGGCATAGTCTGTATAACTGCACTGCCAATATATAGGTGCCACCAGTCACATGTGGCTATTTTTACAGTATTGCATCACCATGGTTTGTGACTTGGGGTTTTCCTAAGGACTTTATTTCACCGCTGCCTCTGCCCGCTGCATGCTTGCTGTCTCTCTCACACCCCTCCTATTTTTATTGGCTCTTCTTGCTTGAAGTCAGTTCAGCAAAGCTCTTGAGTATATGGGTTTGGTAGTCAGATGGGTCAGTGTTTTGAGTCCTCATCCTGTTGCTTCCCAGCTGTGAGAATGCTCTGAGCCTTAGTTTCCCCATCTGTAAAATGGGGATAATTATAGTAGTACCACCTAGGGATGTTATGCAGATGAACTGAGAGATGACACCTCAAGTCTTTGCACGGAAGAGATGCGCAGTATGTGACACTTGTGATTATTACTGCTTATTTCACTTTTATTTTTGCTCTTCTGTGCTTCTCAATGTGACCCGAATCTGCCCTTAACGCATTTTGCAGCACATCCAGTGGACAGACAACTTTGCCTCTGGTCCCTTAGCTAGGTTTCCTTTTGCTCAGGAGGGACTGAGGAAATGACCCATAAATTCTGTGTCTTTACTGGATTGCCTCACAGAGCCTGGAAGAATCTTCTTTCTGGCAGTCAACTTAGGAGCTGAGGGAGATGAGGCGAAGGGAGGTGAAGACACAGCCGGACCAGGGCACATAATCTTCCCAGCATATTTATTCATGAACAGGAAGGACAAGACCAGTGAGGGAGTGGTAGCCAGTTATTTGCTGGGAGGCAAGAGGAGAAGGAAGGGTGAGCAGACAGAGGGGATGAGTCTTCCACTCTTGAAACTCCTCCTACTGCACAAAAATTGCCCACAGAGGTGGAAAGAGGCAAAAGTAAGAGAGAACAGAGCAAAATCATAATATGCCCAGGTTTTATGATGGGGCCAGCAACATTATGGATTGTGAAGCCAGATCACCTGGCTTCAGATCAAGACACAGCTACGTACTACTTTTGACCTTTGACAAGTCACATCAGCTTTCTAATAATCAATTTATTCATTCATAAAGAATACAAAAGCCCACCTCACAAAGCTGTGGTGAGAAATAAATGAGTTACTGCACTTCAAGAACTCAAAGCAATGCTTGGTCCAGAGAAAACATTCAATAAACCTGACTCTATTATTATGAATGTTCTTGTCAGGTCCAAGGTAGGGGTGAATGAGACAGATACTGCTAGATTACTCTAGCTATTTCCAGAAATACGTAAGTATATGAATTAAAAATAGGCATAGTCTGTATAACTGCACTGCCAATATATAGGTGCCACCAGTCACATGTGGCTATTTTTACATTTATATTTAAATGGATTAAATTACACTTAAAGTTAAATTGATTTAAATTAATTAAAATTACATAAAATTAGAAATTCAGTTCCTCAATCACCTTAGCCACATTTTAAGGGCTCAAGACCCTCATGTGCTGGTGACTGCCATAGACCTGTCCCCAGCTCAAGCCTGCAAAGCCTTCCATCCACCGAGGATAAATTCATCACTGTCCTCATGGCCTACAGAGTTCCACATGATCCAGCCCCCTGCCTACGTCTCTCCCTCGTCACCTCCTATCACTTCCTCACTGGGCTCCGGCCACTCTGGCCTCCGTGCTGAACAGCACAGGGATTCGCAGCCTGCATTCTCTAGCCACGTCAGCTTGGCCACCTGCTTTCTGGGTGACCATGAGAAAGTTCCTTAACTTCTGCACCTTGGAGAATGATGCTAAGAATGTTACATGATTTTTGTAAGAATTAAATGAGGAAATACATGTAAACAGGGCTGGGCACCTATTAAGTACGCACTAGCTGTTAATAGGTACTGTGCAAACATACCCAAAACTGTCCTGCCTCAGGGCCTTTGTTCTTGCTCTTCCCTCTGCCTAGAATATTCTTCTCCCAGATTTTACATGGCTTTAACCCTTACTTCATTTAGATCTCTACTTAGAATTTCCTTCTTAAGAGAGGCCTTAGCTGTCTACCCTATTTAAAATAGGACTCCTCCATCACTGTCAATCCCCTTTCCCTGCTTTTTTTTAAAAATGACACCCAACACCACCTGAAGTTATATATTTATTTGTTGATCATCTTCCTTTTTGTACTAGAGTATCAGGTCCTTGACAATACCACTGTGTCGCCAGCTCCAGGAACTGGCCTGCCATGATGTAGATGCCAGATAAATAAATTTTTGAGTGATTGGATGGATGGATGGGTGGATGTTGAATGGATGGATGGATGAGTAGATGTGTGGATTGGTACATAAGGGATGAAATACAAATATGGGTGGATGAATGGGCATATTTGTGGGTGATAAACAAATGGATGATTAGGTAAATTAAGGGGTAGATGAATGGACAAATGGTTGGATGAATAGTGGATGGAGGAGTGGATGAAGGAATGAATAGATTGATGAATAGATGGGTGAATGGATGGAGCGGATGGATGAAGGTGGATGGATGGATGATAAATGGACGAATGCATGCATGGGTAGATGGATGGGTGGGTGAATGGATGAAGTAGATGGATGATAGATGAAGGGTGGGTGAATGGGTGGATGGGTAACTAGATGGAGTAGCTGGTTGGATGGATGGAGGGGAGGTTGGAAGGATGGATGCTCTGGTAAGGAACCATTCTGAACCCAGTCCCTGTCACTTTTGTTTTCCAGGCCGGCCTCTACCACTCCTGCCCCTGTGTGCCTCTGTGTCTTTGCTGGGAGGCCTCACCTTTGGTTATGAACTGGCAGTCATATCAGGTGCCCTGCTACCACTGCAGCTTGACTTTGGGTTAAGCTGTTTGGAGCAGGAGTTCCTGGTGGGCAGCCTGCTCCTGGGGGCCCTCCTTGCCTCCCTGGTAGGGGGCTTCCTCATTGACCACTATGGCAGGAAACAAGCCATCCTTGGGAGCAACTTGGTGCTGTTGGCAGGCAGCCTGAGTCTGGGCCTGGCTAGCTCCCTGGCCTGGCTTGTCTTGGGCCGCTCCGCAGCTGGCTTCGCCATCTCCCTCTCCTCCATGGCCTGCTGTATTTACGTGTCAGAGCTGGTAGGGCCACGGCAGCGGGGTGTGCTGGTGTCCCTCTACGAGGCAGGCATCACCGTGGGTATCCTGGTCTCCTATGCACTCAACTATGTGCTGGCCGGTTCCCCCCAGGGATGGAGGCATATGTTTGGCTGGGCTGCTGCACCTGTTCTCCTGCAGTCCCTCAGCCTCCTCTGTCTCCCGGCTGGTACTGATCAGGCTGCAGCACCCAAGGACCTCATCCCTCTCCAGGGAGGTGAGGCCTCCAAGAAGGGCCTGCGGAGGCCAAGATACTCCTTTCTGGACCTCTTCAGGGCACGGGATAACATGCGAGGCCGGACCACAGTGGGGCTGGGGCTGGTGCTCTTCCAGCAGCTAACAGGGCAGCCCAATGTGCTGTGCTATGCCTCCACCATCTTCCACTCAGTTGGCTTCCACGGGGGATCCTCAGCTGTGCTGGCCTCCGTGGGGCTTGGCATAGTGAAGGTGGTGGCTACCCTGACTGCCATGGGGCTAGTGGACCGAGCGGGCCGCAGGATCCTGTTACTCTCTGGCTGCACCCTCATGGCCCTGTCTGTCAGTGGCATGGGCCTCGCCAGCTTTGCCATGCCCATAGACGCAGGCCCAAGTTGCCTGGCCATGCCTAATGCCACCAGGCTGTCAGGCCTCCCTGGAGACTCTGGCCTGCCAAGAGGCATATCTCTACCATCATTCCCAACAACCAGGGAGAACCAAGGGGATCCAGCCTTGTCAACCTCTGAGAAAGCCAAGCCTCGTCCTGGAGCTGTGGACCTCACCGTCCCTCTCCTGCCAGCCTTAAGCACTATCTCCCCTGTATCCCTTCCTGCCCCTGAGCGTGCCCTGCTGCACTGGGCAGCCCTGGTCTGCATGATGGTCTTTGTGAGTGCCTTCTCTTTTGGATTTGGACCAGGTAGGTGGGCGTTTTCTTGCAGGTATCTCTAGAGCATTCTACCCCTCCTAGAGGGAAGCCTGGGGACTGTATCAGGGTTTCAGAGGGACCCTAGAGGTACCTTGAGCATGAAACCTATGAAGCTTAAGCTTCAGGATGCCTTGCTGACATGTGGGCACTCCTTCTGAAGACAAGAGCCTAATTTTATGCTTGTAACTTTTTTTCTTATAAAGGCCCCCAGAACATTTAAGTTTCAGGCCAGGTAAAACCTAATTTGCTCTGGATAGCTCACTCAAAAGGTTTTACCTGAAAGCAATTCAATGAATTGGGTGTCTGTTCATCCCCCTAAAATGATTCTTAAAGCAGGGTAGGGAAAGCAGCCCGGGAGAAGTGGGTGTCAGGAGCCTGACGTTCTGCTAGAATCCCATTGCTAGGGGGCTGCCCACTAGACCATGGGTGCCAGGGCCCAGGCCAGTCCCAGCTGCCGCCTAGGAGCCCTCCCTGCTCTCCTGTCCTAGTGACCTGGCTTGTCCTCAGCGAGATCTACCCTGCGGAGATCCGGGGGAGAGCCTTTGCTTTCTGCAACAGCTTCAACTGGGCCGCCAACCTCTTCATCAGCCTCTCCTTCCTCGACCTCCTTGGTGAGTCCTTGGACCTAATTCCTTGGCCCAGATCTTTCTTGATCCAGGAACAATTGCCTTCAGACAGAGCCGGGGCTTCTGTATTTGCAGAGTTATAAGTGTAGATATAAGTACATACTTATATAAAAAAAATCCATGTAAACCAGTTTGTGAACAAAAAGGGAAATATTTGTCATAAGTCACTGGAAAGAGGAGGTTAGCTGGCTTCCAGCAGGGCTGATCCACAAGCTCTAACAAAACTGTTGGCCATCTTTCTGTCTGTCTGTCAACCTGCCCCACAGTGGCAAAGAGGGCTGCCTTGGACCTCTTCAGCATGGCAGCCCTGCAGAAGGAGAGCATTTCTTTCCCAGTGGCTCTTGTCCAAGTATGGGGACTGACTCTCATGGTTCTGCAAGATGACATGCCTATCCCTGAATCATTGTGGCTGGAGGGCTGACAGGTCTGATGCCCAGGCCTGGGGCACATATCCACCTGGGAGGTAGGAGGTGGGGACAGCCTCATCCAACCACATGGACCAAAGGGTGGAGGATAGTTCCCCAAAGGAAAATAGGGGTGCTAGTATCAGGAAAAAGGGGAGGAGGGGCTGGGAGATAAAGACAACAGAGGCTTCTACCTCATTGTCAATGAGTAGGCTGTTTTTCTTTTATGGGAATATAGTTGATATACAATATTATATTGGTTTCAGATGTATATCATAGAGACTCAGTAATTACGTACATTTCTAAATGCTCACCCCAGGAAGTGTAGTTACCCCCCGACTACCATACCAAGATACTACAAAATTTTTGGTTAAATTCTCCATGCTGTACTTCCATTCCTATGACTAATTTATTTTATAATTTGAAGTTTTTACCTCTTTATCCCCTTCACCTATTTCACCAATCTCCTGACCCCCTCCCCATGATAACCAACAGTTTGTTGTCAGTATTTATGGATCTATTTTGTTTGTTTTGTTTATTAGATTCCACATATAAGTGAAATATGGTATTTGTCTTTCTCTGTGTGACTTATTTCACTTAGCATGATACTATCTAGGTCATCCACACTGTCACAAATGGCAAGATTTCCTTCTTTTTTAATGGCTGAGTAATACTCTATTGTGTATATGTACCACATCTTCTTTATCCATTCGTCTTTTCATGGACACTTTGGTTGCTTCTATATCTTGGCTATTGTAAATAATGCTGCAATAAACATAGGTGTGAGTTTATCTGTTCAAATTAGTGATTTTGTTTTCTTCAGGCAAATTCCCAGAAGTGGACTTGCTGGGTCCTATGGTATCTCTATTTTCAGTTTTCTGAGGACCCTCCGTACTGTTTCCCACAGTGGCTGGAGCAATTAACATTCCCACCAAGAGTGTAGGAGCCTCTTCTCTACCTCCTTGCCAAAACTTGTTATTTCTTGTCTTTTGGATAGTAGTCATTCTGGTGTGAGATGATATCTCATTGTGGTTTTGATTTGCATTTCCCTAATGATTAGTGATGTGAGAGCATCTTTTCATGTGCCTGTTGGTCATCTGCATGTCTTCTTTGGGAAAATGTCTGTTAGGTCCTCTGCCCATTTTTTAACTGGATTATTTGGGTTTTTTTGATGTTGAGTTTTATGAGTTCTTTATATATTCCAGATATTAGTCCCTTATCAGAAATATCATTTGCAGATAAATTTTCCCATTTGGTAAGTTACTTTTTCATTTTGTTGGTTTCCTTTGCTGTGCAAAAGCTTTTTGGTTGGTGTGGTCCCACTTACTTATTTTTGCTTTTGTTTCCCTTGCTCTGGGAGATGTATACAGAAAAAAATTACTTGTGCTGATATTCAAGGGACTCCTACCTATGTTTTCTTCTGAGAGTTTTATGGTTTCATGTCTTATTTAGGCTTTAATCCAGTTGGAGTTTACTTTTATATGTGGTGTAATTTCATTCTCTTGCACGTAGATGTCTAGTTATCCTAACAAGATTTATTGAAGAGACTGCCTTTCTCCATTGCATATTCTTGTCATATATTCATTGATCTTATATGTATGCATTTATTTCTGGGCTCTCTATTCTGTTCCATTGATCTATGTGTCTATTCTTGCACCAGTACCATACAGTTTTAATCACTATAGCTTTGTGGCATAGCTTGAATTCAGGAAGCACGATACCCCCCATGGGCTGGCTTTATTGACCACTTGGGAGTCAAGTCTAAAGGAAGGGAAGAACTGGAACATCCAGTTCTCCCTCCACAAGCCATCTCTGTTTGGTGTGGTGGGGAAGGAGGACAAACTCCAGATGGGTAGATGGGGCCGTATGGAGACCTGAGTCTGGGGCTTTGACCCTCCTTCCCCAAGAGAAGTCCATTCTGTTCTCTCCTCTGTAGCCTAAAGCCTCCACTCTGAAGCTCAGGAGTTCTAAATCTTTTCCTACTTACAGTAGAACTATTTGTCAGATAAAGCTCTGTGCAGAAGCTCCATAGAAGTGTCTGACAACATCCTAAAACCTCAGACACACTGTAAAATTCTCCAGGTGCAATAACAGGTGACAGTCTACACCAGCACTGGAGAGAACTTACCTGAGAGCAGAGAGAGGGTCTCAGATACTGAGATGCTCTGGTCCAAAGCCACTGGTCATCAGGGCCAAAGCAGGCCCAGATCCTACACTGTGGGCTCCAAGGTGCAGTTCCGAGGGCTGTTAGTTTCCCATCTCCTGCACCTGGCATTTCTTCCTCAAAGGCATAGCCACCCTGGGGGCCTGTGGGAAACACTGGTGGAAGAACCTGCCCACCATGCCTATCTTCCACCCCCCATCTTAGGGAATCCAAGCTTCTTCCCACAACCTCAATCCTCAACATTCCCTTTATGTGGAATGAATGAGTGAGTAAGAGGAAGATGGAAGGGAGGGGGGTGTATAAAATTATATCATATCCTTATCATCCCCATTTCACAGATGGGGAAATACATCCTTTCCAAGTCCAGCCAGGTAGTGAGAAGAGTAGAACCCAGAGATCCTGACCCCCAGCCCAGCTCTCTCCCTGCTGGTATAAGGATTAAGTGGAGGCCAAGCTGGTCAGGGGAGGTGCTGGGGTGAGGTATGGCCAGAGCCGTGACAGGTGAGAACGGTCATGGCAGCTGAAATGTGATTTCTGCTTCTCCCACAACTAAGTCCCTTTCTTCCCAGCCTCCTTTCTCTGTCTTAGGCTGACTGGCTTCAAAGAAGTCAGGGTCATCCAGCTGAAACGTGATTTCTGCTTCTCCCACAACTAAGTCCCTTTCTTCCCAGCCTCCTTTCTCTGTCTTAGGCTGACTGGCTTCAAAGAAGTCAGGGTCATCCTGGGGTTCCTGGCTGCTGGCCCTGAGACCCTGGCCCCCACCTGAGGCTCCAGGAAGAGGGAGGAGCTGGGAGCCGAGGCTTCTGCCCTCTCTCCCAGGCCTGTCAGACACAGGCCAAACTGTCTCAAATTCAATTCCCTGAAGGTGCAGTGCACCAAATAACCAATTCATGGAATTTATGAGGATTTTCCTTAGAGCTGGGCTTTGCCAAGATTGTGTCCTACAGCTGGTTTGCGGCTGAGGTGACTGTCTTCTTCCCTTCGCTCACATTTTCAGATTTCCAGCACACTGGTTAGTGTTTCAGATGTGGGCGAGTGGCCTTTTCCATCTGGGCAAGATGCCTTCATCTGTATTGGGCCCTGGCCCTTTGCCTGCCTCTGGGACGACCAGTCCTACTTGTGCTTTAAGGTACTTATCTGACAGGTTGTTGGACATCTTGCAAATCCATCGTCTGGAGAACTTGCTTTGAGTGAACTGATCTTCAGTGCTCCACCTGGAACCAGCCAGCAGGCCCAGGCCACGCCCCCACCCATACTGCCACCCCTCTGTTTGTAGGCACCATTGGCTTGTCCTGGACCTTCCTGCTCTATGGCCTGACCGCTGTCCTTGGCCTGGCCTTCATCTATTTCTTTGTACCTGAAACCAAAGGCCAGTCATTGGCAGAGATAGACCAGCAATTCCAGAGGCGACGGTAAGGAGGGCCAGGGTTGGGGGGACTGGGGGAAGAGTTGCATCAAACTCGGAGCACTTTGCTTCAAGATTTTAGTCCTTATACTTCCCCTTTGCAAGAAAGCGCTTTTCCTGTCTCTCTTACTGCCTGGACACTGTGAGCTCTGTCCTGTCTTCATACATGAGCTGTGTTCCTCGAGTTGTTTTGGGTCTTCCTACAGCGGTGTTTCATGACTTTAAGGCCCAGCTCACAGGAATTTTAGAATCATGAAGTTATGGAATCACACGAGGGTAGAATAGTAGAACCTTAAAACCACAGAATCTTAGAGTCATAGAAGCTTGGAGAAACAAAATATGATAACTGTGGCTTTTAAAATTGCACACAAAGAACAGTGGGCTTATCTCACTCATTCAATGGGTGTTTATTAAGTCTCTGCTAAGTGTCAGGCACTGTTCCAGGCCTTAGGAAATGTGACTGAGAATAAGGTGGGAAAGGTCTCATCCTCATGGAGCATCCATTCTAGTGGAAGAGGGGGATAAAATAAACAAGCCAACAAATGCATCAACAAGAGTGTTTCAGCTAGTGGTATGTAGTTGGAAGAAAATGAAACAGCACATTATGCTGAGAAAGCCTGATTGGCAAGGAGTAGGCCAGAGAGGCAGGGTGTTACGGCTGATTTAGAGTGGGTGGTCAGAGAGGGAAGGCCTCTCTGAAGAGGTGAGCCTTACAGGTCGTCAATGACCCTATCTCTACTGAATGGGGGAAGGGATGATCAAGGGAGGCTTCTTGGAGGAGGAAGCAATTGAGTGAGACCCAAATGATGAGAAAAAGCAATCTGGAGACCTGGGAGGAAGTGCACTAGATGCAGGGAACAGCAAGAACAGAGGCCGTGCGGTGGGGACAAGCGGGGTGTTTTGAAAAGAGGAGGCTCGTGGGGTTGGGGTGTGGTGAGCAAATGAAGTGGAGGGAGGTGATGAGGCAGAGGCTGGCCACAGAGGGGCCCTGGATGGTAGGATTAGCGTGATGAGGGGCTCCTGCTAAGCATGGACATGACAGAAGCTCATCTTTGTGTTTAAAAAGATCACTCCATCTGTGACGAGGAGAACAAGCCATAGGGGCAGTGAGGGGACACAGACCAGAGAAGAGCAGTAGGTTGTGCGGAAGAGGAATAAGGCAGGAAGCAGAAGGGTCAGGGGAGGAGTTGGGGCTGGAGCGGGGTGGGGCTGGAGGGGATGGTCCGCTGCCCTCTCCCCCGGGAAGGTCCCTAGGCCCTGCCACCCTCTGACCCCATCACTCTGCTTGACTCACTCTAGGTTCGCTGTGAGCTTTAGTCACAGGCAGGGCCCGCAGTACAGCCGCGTCGAGGTCTCTGTGGCCTCCTGAGGAGTCCCTCTTCCTGGAACATGCTGGAACCGTGGCTTTAGCAGACAGCCTCCAGCTTCCTGCTGCCTGGGCCCCAGAGCTCTAGGTGGTCCTTCAAGAGTTGCCCCAGCTCCAGATGGGGTCTTTTTTGTGGGGTGAAACGACTGAAAGCCTGAGAACCCAGAAGTCTTCATTTTGAAACTCAGGCTCTGAGGGCTCCTGAGGACCTGCTGCTTGCCTGAGTCCCCCATTGGCTCTGCACGTCTCTGCAGTATCGACAATTATGCCAACATCTCATGGCATCTCTGTGCCCCATGGGCCTTCTTAAAGACTCTCGAGGGTTCCAACCTCTGGCAGCAAGTCTCTTCTGGCGTCCCCCCTAAGTCCAGCTGAGGATACTGTAGTCTGCTCTCTTTTTCCATCTGGCTGGGACGTTTTTGGTGAGGGGGATGCCTGCATTTGGGCTCTTGGACCTGTTTTGTTCAACCCTCTAATTCTCTCATCTAGAATATTTCATTCACCAGCAACTCAGACTGGTTGATACAGTCTGAGTTCCAGTCCTGGTTCTGCTGGTGTCAGTGCTGTGTGGCCATGAGCCTCAGGTTCCCCCACATGGACAATGGGGAACCTGAACCAGGTAGTTCTTAAGACCTCTTCTGACGCCAGTGAGCTGAAATTCTAAATGCTGTGTATACAACAAATCGTCATCATAGGCCCTGTTCCCAAGTTGCTAGTCACCTCCTCAGAGGAAATATGTTTTAATTACAGGAAAGGTGAATAGAACTCTAGAGTTGTGTTCACTAACCTCCAAGAGCTGTCACAGTGCACGTAACAAGCTCCAGGAGCTGTCCCCTGGAGAGTGCAGGAGGGCTTTGCAGAAAGGAGATGGGTTTGGAGGCTGGTTGTGGGGGCAGGCGTTGACCCTGGGTCATTAGCAATTCCCACAGCCTCAGTTTCTGCATCTGCACCATGGGGATGAGTATGTCCCCTGGGGGTGTATCCAATCCCCATCTTCCTTCAGGAGGGTCTTCAGATGGTCCCATTCAGCGAGTCACAGAGTGAGGGGTGGATTTCTCTTTGACCTCAGTTACTCAGGTCCCTACCTTAGGGACATTGTAAAGGGTCATCCCCTGATGGGCGAGTCCAGTGGAGATGGAGCAAGCAGCTCAGGCCAGAGGTCACTAAAGGAAGGGACTAGCAAGAAGGAGTTCTGGGAGGCCGAGCAGAGTGAAGAGCTGAAGCCCATCCAGGCGCTGGCATAGCACAGGATGATGCCTTGCCACGCGTGCCGGCTCGTGCGGGGGCTGGCACAGCCTCCACTGGCCTCTGGCCCCTCCACTTCTCCCCTTCCTTGTTTCGAGTTGCTTTCCCGATACTCAGAGGTGTGCTGGCATCAGCTCCTACTGGCTTGTGAGAGCTGATTGTTAAATTTTCAGGGTTTTTGCAAGCTGGTTGTTAAACAGCCATTAAAAGAAATTAAATTATTTGAACACACTTAAATTATACTAAAAACAAAGGTAATGAATACTAGAATTTCATCACTTCCTTATTTACTACATTTTACTATCATCTGTGCTCCGTTGGGGGGCTGCCTCGAGCTTCTGGCTTCTGGTTGGGTTAGAAGGACCAACAGTCGTAGGGAGGGAGGAGACTGCAAAGGAATCTTTCTTCCCCAGCTCGCAGGTCACAGCTCTTCTCAGCAGGCGCCCTCCCTACAGCCTCTCTCTCCGGGTTCAGGAATTCCTCCCACTGTTGTCCCACCAAGACTAATAGTGGTCATACTCCCTCAGTTAAGCACAGCACTATTCCTTGTGGTTTCTTAGGTCCTGCATGCAACTTTGTAAATAAAGCCTTTATTAAACTTTCCTCTAAATGATGCAATTTGAGTGTGCTCAGGTATGCACCAGTCAAGATTCTCAGGGGCAAACAAAGTAAGTTACTGAAAGATATTATATAATTCATGGAGTTTCTGGGAGAAGGGAGGCAGAGAATCAGGCTTAGAAGTTTTGAGCCAGGAACAGTGGCCCAAACAGCAAGACTGCCTGGTGGAGACCCTGCGCTGCCATCTGGGACAGAGACAATGCAGCTGTGCCTGGGCAGTGGATGCCACTGCTGGGTCCCCTGCCCATGGTGCCTCTGTGAGCCATATGCCCCTGCCAGAGCCTGCCATGCACTGCCCCTGCTTCTCTGCATCGCCAGTTCTTCATTCAAAGACTTGCATGGTTGCCTTCGATTCATGGAACATCACATAACTGCATCCTAGCTGCAAGGGATGCTGGGAAAACACAGTTCTGTCCTCTACCTGGGGAAGGCAGAGGCTCCGTAAGACAGAAGGTACTTCAAACATAGGAAAGTGCCCAGAGATGCTGGCTGCCCCAGATAATGGCAAATGTTCATGCCAGGGTGAGTTTGGGGGAGCCAGTGCAAAGTGTGGGGTGGAGACCATTTCTATCGATGCCTGCACTCTTTCTTCCTCATCTGTTGGTATTAGTAGGGGCAAGCATTAGAGATCCTGGGAGCACAAAGGGTGGAAGCAGGCTGGGAAAAGAGGATGATCAGGATATGCCCAAGCAGGAATAGATAGGCAGGAAATGGAGGGATTGGTCCTATGTGTATGGGAGATCCAGTCCTTTTCCTGAAGCCCTGGGAGGCTTGGTCTGATGTTGCTTTTTTCAGATGGGACCTCCCACCTGGAATGCCCTTCCTATTTCCTTCCTAGTTTCAAAGCTTTCTCATCTGACGTCAGTTTTCTTCATTGTGACAGAAACCCAATACAAATAGTCATAAGCAAAAAGGGAATTTATCAGTTCACAGAGAGTCCAGTGGTGGACTGCAGGCATGGCTGGATCTGGGGGACTCAAATAATATCACCAGAAATCTGACTCTCTCCATCTACTGCCTTTGCTTTCTGGTGTGGTACCTTTTTTGAAGGATGGGTTCCTCACACAAGGTTTGCCTCAGCAGCTTGAAGGTGGCATCCTACTGGCTTGACAACCCCAAGAGAGAGAGGCCCCAGGAGCTGACTTACATTGTGCCAGATTAAGTCAAATCTCATCGCTGAACTGTGACTTGCTCTGGCCATATGCCCATTCCAAGAGCACATGCTAAGGGTCACCTTTTGCACCCTGGTCCTGTACTACAGGCAGGGCCAGCAAGCCACCAGTACTACCTCCACATCCACGTGGCATCCTACATCCCCTGCACTTGGGGAACTTTAGTTTTGACCTCAAAGGGAAGGATCCCCTGCTAGAATATAAATTTCACAAAGGCAGGGCGTTTTATCTGCTTTGTTTACCACTGAATTCCGCATGTCTAGAACAGTGTCTGGCACATAAATAAACATTCAATAAATATTTGTTGAAAGAATAAATGGATGGATGAGTGAATGTAAAGCACCTGGAATGTTGAAAATGCATAATAAAGGATAATTATCAGCACCAAAGAAAGATGTTTTCTTTCTCTTACATTTAGATGCTGTAAAATGTTTATAAAACTTTAGAGATGGAGTGTAAATATATAAAGTCCTAAAGGTCACTGGTAGAATAAACAATAATATAATTTATAAAAACAATAAAGTGAAAGGAAGAAGGCAGTGGAGGGAACGTATGTGAACAAAATTCCTCATCTCTCTTATCACTAGACATTGCTTAGGGTTGGTA